AACTTTCAGATTAAGTACTGCTATACTAATGAACGGGTTTTGAGTAAAGAGTGCCATAAAAGCAAATTAAAAGTATTGATTGATTGCCATTTGAATACTAATACTACTGCTCCCAATCAACCCAGTAGTAGCACCGGTATGCACACCGGTACGCAACCAAATCAATTGTTTCACAAATGGATAGCAATTATTTCAAAACGGATATCAATTTTAGCGACGCTTATTGTGGGCGTTATTAGTCTCGTAATAGTTTTCAAGTTTATGGGTTTCATTGAATTTATAATTTTATTATTAGTTGTTATATTCGTTGTCACATATTTTACCATTAAAATAGTTATTCAATAAATTTATTTATTTATTCAGTTACATTTTACAATTAGTTTAATTCATTTAACAAACTTTAATTACTAACAATAATTATTATCTCTCACTCTCAACACAATTGGTTTGAGATTCAAAATTCAAAATCAGTTGCAATTTGCAAATCAAACACAAGACATACAAGTAAGAGAAATAGTGACAAAGATTTGAGTTTTGTATAAATATTTGTAAATCAATTGAGTATTTGATTAAAAATAAATGCAATAAATGCTTGAAATGCGAGAATCGATGAAACAGAATGTGGGAAAAGAATTGAAGGAAAACCCTAATCGTGTGAAACCGAAGTACATTGGAGTTAGCCTTCGGTTAACACCAAAAGTATCAGAGACCGACTCCAATGCCTACCAGTCCTTAGTTAAGAGCACCCGACGATTGTGTAGATCTAAACGTGTCGTCCCTTTCTTGGTTGGGCTAACTATCGGCGTTGTTCTGGTCTACGGTTGTGTCAAATATTCTCATTAAATGCATACAAATAATACATGAATTGCTTTTTATATTGAATTTGTGTTCAAATTATCGCTTTATTTTTCATAAATAGTAGTCAAATGTTTGGATAAACTTTAATTACAAATATCACCAATTGAATTATAATTTTTTAATAAACAAATTTACAAATTTTGTAATACGAAATTTATTAAATAAAAGTCAAAATAACTTATTGTAGATTTAAAGTTACATTTTTAGGGCAAACATTTAATTTTGTGTACAATTTTGACACTCAATATAAAAAGTAGAAATTAATTAATAAAATATATTTAATATTGTCTTAAATCTAATAAAAAATAAATTCTTAAAACGTGTTCATATTTTTTGAGACAAAGTTTTGGCCGATTTTCAACACAAACTTAAAGTTTTGTTTCCATTCCTTGGTTTCAATCAATTGATTGTAGTTTTTGTCGATAAAGAGCAGCGATTTTCTCATCAAAGACTCCAATCGATTGGCTTTCGATAGCTTCAGATATTTGATGACATTATTGACAGACATATCACCGCTAATCCACTCGAGACACACGTCCGCCAACTCTTTGAATCCATAATTGTTGGACAAAACCAACAAATCAAAGCATTTGGTCATCAGATTGTCAACACTTCCGGTGTTTAGGTATCGGATGAGCTCTTCAAACACCTCTTCCGTCACATTCAGTAAACGCAATGAATTCACGTCTTTGTGTTCAGCAAACAGTTCCGCAAAGACTGAAGACTTCTCAGCGATAAGTGTTTTATTGACACAAAACTTAGTGTCGTTTACGCGAAAAGAAACGCAAGAATTGTCTTCATTCTGATCACCACTTCTTTGGTCACCGAAATCGACATCTTTTATGACATCAGTTAATGTGATCTTTGAGTGAGAGTTCAGTGCATTGAATGTAATGCTCTTCTGATGTCCAAAGACTACGGGAACTGATGTCTTGAGTCTTGTGAACTCAAACCTCAACACAAGATCGAGTCGTTGTCCACAAGAGAATCCATATTTGGGATCAAAGATGACAATCAATTCATATGCAAACAGTTGTGTCAATTGATTTCGAGGACATATCTCTTGGCTCTTGAGTTGCACTTCTTTGCCGAAGATATTGATGACATTCAGACAGCATTTGATGGACACAACCGATGGACTGTTGACAGCGTTTCCGGAAGAGGAAGAATACACTCTTTGGTTGTGATTGAGATTACGGATCGACAGACATAGCAATTGGGATCCGTTTGGCGATAGTCTGGAGTCGACAATGAGTTTCCATTTGGTATTCAAAGCGCTGTCAAAGGCTTTACTGAATAATTGAGTCCCCATTTGGTCGGCCTTTTCAACGACACACTTATGAACACAATTGTGGACTTCGAAGACATTGCTGTCAGTGAGTTGCACCGCAAACAGATCCCGACAACTCTTCACTCCTTCAGACAGTCTTGAATTCATTGGTGACATTAAAGGCATTTACGGTAATATGAGATCAAAGTTATTGAAAATAAACCCAAATTGTAGTGAATATTGAATTAATTCTAACAGTATTTACAAATAAATTTCAAAATGAAATTCAAAAATAATGCAAACAATTAACTCGAATATTAATAGCGAGACATATGTCATAAAAAGTTTTAATTCAAAAACTGATAACATTTTGATACATAAGATTCTACTGTATTGTGTAATTCTCGTGACATTTACGAAAAGTAAACACAGTAACTTACACTGAACAAGTAAATATAAATTATAGAGACTTATCAAATCTAATCTTATCAATTGCTAAAAGTATTAATTAATAATAAAAATGGTAGTACAGTACCGTAATAGAAAAATAAATATAGTATATTTAATATTATAGTAGAGGTTAAAATAAATTAACTTTCATCCCTATACCTTACTTTTAGAAATTTTTGAAAATGCAATTCTGACTAAATTCTTACTTAAACCTATAGAAACTACACTATAATTGTAAATCAAGTTTATGATTAAATAAAAATTAAAATGTTTACTAAAAAACTATTACAGATAATTTCAAATATTAATTTAAAACTAATTTAACTCATAGATTATTAAAACCATAAAATGTTAAATAATAAACAAGTAAAATATGCATAAAAATCACTGCAAATAATTTATTCTTCATTATTATCGTCTTCAATGGGTTCAACAAAAAGTGTGAGATTTTGCGGTATTTTATCAGCAAATAGTGTCAAATCAATGGCCGTGAACTGATCCTGGTCCTCCTGACCTCTTGAGAATCCGCAATAAAAATCTAAANAAATCAATGGCCGTGAACTGATCCTGGTCCTCCTGACCTCTTGAGAATCCGCAATAAAAATCTAAACTTTTTTTCTTCTGACTATTGGCACAACTAATCAAACACTCGATTGTTTTAATCGTAATATTCGGCCGATTACTGAAGAATATTCTGTCAATTCTGGGACACAATTCAATTAATTTGCAAACACTCTCATCGGTTATGAATTTATAATTTTTGTCGTTACTTAACAAATAAAACTTTTCTAGTTTTCTGAGTCGAGAAAATTGTGAAATAGTGTTATCCGTAAATACCGATTCACACCAAATGCTTAATTGACACAAATTTGGTAAATATATGTGAATGTCGTTAAAGAAATCTTCTAATATTATATCATTTCTTAAGTCTAAACATTTGAGATTTTTCATACATTTTAAGCATTTAATACTCCCGTAAAGTACTTTCGGTTTCTGATTTTGTCGTAAATTTAAAGCAAATTTAATTAATTTCTTAAAGTTATGAAACGCATAAAACAAATTGAATAGCGATTTGAAACTGTTTGAATCAAAGGTGAGATCAAGTCGTGTGAGATCCGGACTATTTACAGACAAATCAATGATGTAGTCGTAAATATAATCATCAATATTCTCGGCATATATTTTCGTACAATTTAGGGCCAAGTCTTGTAATTTCTTAAACCGCGAAATACCGGCAAAAATGGTCTTCACGTGACTATCATCTAAGTCGGACTCCAAAGTGATGTCAATTTTTGTCAGACAATTGCCGTAATTATGGCAAAATGTGTCAAAAATGTTCATCTCATTTGCATTAATCGAATAACTGTTGATAACTTGAAGTTTGGGAAAATAGTCGCCGCTTTCGAGGTTCAAGTGATCGAAATCTGGTGAACTATATTCAGTCATATTCTTGCATTGAATAAAAAACTTTTTCATGAACTTATTGCAAAACCACTCCGTCATAACCCCTACCTTCTCAAACATATGACCATATTTAAGGCCAAATTCATGCAAATCACTGGAACTTAAGGCGAGTGTCGTTAAATAAATAGCCTTTAAATGCGGACAATATTTGCCAAACAAATGCAAATCCATTGAATCGACTAAACAGTCTAAATCCAGGCATTCAATTGATTGACACTTTATTAACAACTTTTTCAGTGATCTCTTGTCAATGCGTTTATAGCCGTCGCTGTCAGCCCTCGCCGTCATGTAATCCCTGATGGATATGGGTTTCAATAGTTTATTCAGCGCATCCCTGTCCTCCGGTTTCCATCGGTTCAGCGATAGTCTCGTCTGTTGATTGAAAATCACTTTTCGGAACCGTTTGGACACACATTCAAACAAAACTTTATCACTGAATGTCAGATACGATAAAATATTTTCGATCAAATTCTCGTCAAACCTATTGAATGACTGTTTCATCAATTGTTCACCACTTAATTTACAACCACCCTGATCACTATCATTAGCCATTATTTCACAATTAATTTCACCACCTTTTAGATAATAAATTTTAAAATAACAAATAAGTTGTGTAAAATTATTTAGAAATGATACTGGTTAAAATGGGTGCTCAAACTGTAAGTGTTTAGAAATGTCGCCTAAAATAAAATAACGATTATTATACTGTATTTAAATAACCGTACAGTTTATGACACAATGATTACATGTTTGTTAGAAATTGAATTATTGTTTAATACTAAATACATTTTGATATACAGGTATATACAATGGCATAGAGATAGTGTAAACAATGATAAAAATATGCTATTATTTATAAAGTATTATGTAAGAATTACCATATCTATGAGAAACATTTTTCCATATAAATAATATCCATTGAATTAAGTAACTATGGGAACACGGAATACATAGATTTCATATCGAGGTGAATACCCATTGAATGACACTGACTAGTGAATTACCTTGATAATCAATTAAACAACCTTGACAATCTTTCTAATCTGTCAATGTCTTCTAAAAGAGTCAATATAACATAGAATTGAATTTTAAAATATGTATTATAATATAAACAACACTAGAAAAAAATGTTTAATGAACTTAAAAATTAAACTTAACAAAATTTCACACTAATTATTAATTATGGTTATGTTAATTATTACAAAGTTGCTCAAACTATACAATAGATTTCTAAAAATTATATCTTTTTAAAAAGTCGAATTTAATAAACAATTTTAATGCAATGCATTTAAATTGACTCTAAAAGTCTTTAATTTATCTAGATTCTCATTTGTGTAAATTATTATATTTATATATTGACCCACATGCATCGATGAATAATTATTTGAATTAATATTTTCAACTAATTTACTATAAACATCGTATAATGGATGTAATTAAACTTGATAAAATCCATACAGAATATAAAACTTAAAAACATCATCTAACCTGGTATTAACACTTTTTAATAAGATTATAAGTTTTATTAAGTTAAAATTATATACAATTTATAACAGTTTACTGTATATTAAACAAAACATTTAATTTTGCTAGCTTTATTAATTAATTCATTGATATCAGAATTTGAGAACATGGTAAATTAATATATGTTGTGACCCCTTGTGTTGAAATACACAATAAAATGGTAAATTCAAATGTTAACAGATGTCAATAGACTACACATTTCCCCATATCATAGAAATAGATTCATTTCATTCTCTATTCACTTATTATAAGAGAAAAAATTATAAAGAATTTAAATGTTATAGATCATTATTATTATTGTACTCTATAGACTAACAATTAATATTACTTAAAATAAGTGATACAAAAGTTTTACTAAAAATAAAAATTAATAAAAAATAAAAATAAAGCTATAATACAATAACTTAGAATTAATTAACATAAGCATCTTATTATAAAAATTATGAATTCTATACTTACTATTGAATAGTAAATGAAATGCTATACATTGATTAACAATAAAATACATGCTTATAATGAACATCAATGGATTAGTAGACAAAACACGTCTATAATAGCAGGTATTTATAAAAGCCGATCATTTTCTCAAATGAAATCATTTAGTAATCGGTTCTTAAAAATACCGTCCATTATAAACGGTATTATATATTGCATTCAATATACATTGGGATTAAACACATATAAGTTATCACACAATAGTAAACTAACCATAAATGCATTTAACAAATGAATATAGCATTCAATACACGATTGGTTTACAAAATTAATTATGGAATACGCGGAGAAAAATAAAAACTTTTGATTATTATTAATAATAGTGTTTTTGTAGTGTATTTGTGAGTGTTTTGTGTGTTAGAGATGTATATTATTTCATGAATTAATTTATCTGGAGTTCAGACTATGGACTCTCAATGGAAATCCTATTACAGGCATCACTGAATCTATGCTATGAAATAATACACATACTATTAATACACATATATATTTTGCTTATTATATTAACAAAACGTTTAGTGAATAATAAAATATAATTTTTGCATTTTTATTAATAAACAATATTTTTGGTATACTTTTTGGTGTGAAAATTTATTGGTATATTTTTAAATTAGTGGTGATATTTATATAACACCTTTATAATTTAAGTTAAAGCAGTGAATCAATGAGTGCTTGCATTGGATAGCATTGGAAAAAAGTATAACATTTTCTGTGCATTAAAAACGTGCATTAAATAAAATTATGACCAGGGTGTAAAAGTTATTAAATATTTTGTAATACAGGAATAAACATTTAATTCTTAAGCAACATTTTGGTGTACTCATCACCAAAACATTCTTACTATTAATACCTTAATTTTTAAGATCAAATCCTTGGTTTGTAAATAAATACCGCACTCCTTAGATATAACTTATCCTTATAATTGCATTTCAAACATACATTTGATTTATGAAATTAAAAAATTATTTCAAACATTTCCTTTATATAAACATTAGGAATACTTTTTACATTTCTAAGCATTTTTAGTCTAAAACAAATTCATTAAAGTAAATTTATTTGCACTCGTTTTTAGTGTTTAAAATCTCTTTTGAG